TTCAAGCCCTAGGACTGGCAAAAGAAAAACACACTTCAGAAGCAACAGTAGAGGTAAAGTTCAAGGAATTCTAACCAAGATGAATTGGCGAGGTTTGGAAATTCTTTTTGTATGTACAGAGCTTTTGGCGTTACTTCTTTGGTGAATCACCCATTATAGTCCTGGCTCACTAACCCCCAGGGTCTTTATCTTTGTATTTAATTTATTAGAGCTGTTTATATACTAAGAATCTGAATTTTTGACATTTGTTGCAAAAGTCTTTGGTTTCATTGTCTCATTTTGTTTCACTTAATCTTTCCTTTCACTGTTTTTTTTTTTGCTTTGTGTTGATGTTTTGCTATATGATAACACTTTGCTATTGTGACAAGGGAAGTTGTATCCACCTCAGGTTATTACTAAACCAGAAAACACTGTCTTTTTCCTAATCAACCATCCATTCATTGAAAGACAGAACTAGGGGCTGGGAAGGTAGCTCAGTGGTAGAGTGCTTTGCTTGCATGCATGAGGCTCTGGGTTCAATTCCTCAACACCACATAAGCAGAAAAAGCCGGAAGTGGTGCTGTGGCTCAAGTGGTAGAGCGCTAGCCTTGAGCTGAAGAGCTGAGGGACAGTGCCCAAGCCCAGAGTTCAGGACCCATAAAAAAAGAAAGATGGAACTGCTCTATAGCCTTCTCATGTGGGAAGTCCCTGGGGATTCCTGTTAAACTATGTGGCAATCTTAGTTTTTTGTTGCTAAAAGAGGAGCAATTTCTCCTGGAGAAGGGTTGGTCCTGACCAATTTAGCTAAAGTTAAGGAGGGAAATGCTGAGAGATGAATAGCTTCTGTTTACAAAACGTCAGTAGTAAATTCTCTGCCAGGGAGGGGGGAGGGGTGGGGGTGGGTACGTGTGCCAGTCCTAGGGCTTGAACTCAGAGCCTGGGTGTTTGTCCCTGAGCTATTCTGTTCAGGGTGGCACTCTACCACTTGAGCCAGCCCCACTTCCTGATTTTTGCTGATTAAATAAAGAGGCTCACAGACTTTCCTGCTTGGGGTCATTCTGAACTAGGACATTCAGATTTCGGTCTAGGATTATAGGATAGCTAGGAATTCTAGGCATAGCTAGGATTACAGGCATAAGCCTGGCTTTCCAGTAGTAAACTCTTGAAAAGAACAATTTTGTGCAAGTAAGTGTTCAGTTGTGTGGGAAAAGCAAAGGCAAAGGCGGGTGGAAAGCTGGGTGAACACATGAGGCTCAAACACGGGGCAGGCAATGAGGGCTGCAGCAAGGGCTGGCCTAGAACACGAACCTGGGCCGAGAGAAGGACAGAACAATAGGACCCAGCGAGAGTGGGAGAGCAGATGGAGTGATGCAATCACAAAACGATGAAAGGGTCCCCATGTAGGTGATTTATGCAATCACAGGAAGGAAGAGACGGAGGGAGCAAGGAAGGGAGGAAGGGAAGCCGAAGGCCTTCGGCAGCCTCTGTCAAGATTCATCACCGTCCCAGTCTTCCAGTAGTCTAGCCTGTGCACAATTATGTGTAAAAGGATGCACCCTGCCCCCCTGGTATCATGACACGGAGGTTTCTTCCTTCCGCTTTCCTGTTCTCTCTGATCCATGGATACACAAAGCCCCCACCAGCCTGGTTCTGACCATTTCATGTTCAGTTTCTTTAGTGTCTGATCAACAGTGACAAGATGAAGATGGTGATGATGATTCCTCGCATGTCACAGTCATAAAGTGCATTTCATACTCCTAGGCCCTGGCACTTCTCAGCATCCTTGTGAATTGCTGTACAAGTTCACTCTCAAGGAGATTGAAACCTAGAGAGATAAAGAGACAACCAGGAACCAGAGGCTCATGCCTATTATCCTAGCTTCTCAGCAGGCTACTCAGATGGCAGTTCAAAGCCATCCCAGGCAGGAAAGTCTGTGAGACTCTTATCTCCAGTTAACCACCAGAAAACCAGAAGTGGTGCTGTGGCTCAAAGTGGTAGAGCACTAGCCTTGAGCAAAAAGAGCTCAGGGGACAGAACTCAGGCCCTGAGTTCAAGCTCAGTGGCCAACAACAAAACAAAAAAAAAAAAACAAAAAATATCTGGTCAATTAAAATCCAGTCTTTGTCTATCCTTTCCCCCTTGGTAACCTTATGTTTCTCTTACTCTCTGGGGTCACCGATCTGATTGTCTAGCCACAGATGATGTGAAAACACCCAAAGAAGTCCAAAGGTCCAAGGCTGATTCCAGCTCTCTCAGATGGAGGAATATTTTATCACAGAGCAAGCTTAGTGTTTTCATGAGACTCTCTTTTCTGATAGTCTGCCAAACATTTGTAGAGTTGAACCGAGTGATTTTTTTATAGCCATTCCTCCCTACCTTACTCCCATTTCTCTATCCCTAAGTATTTCCCTGATGAGTAAGTAACATGCAGCAAAGCAGCACGGGTAGAGATTTAAGACTTCCATAGCAAGGAACTAAACACATGGTCCTGCTAAACTAAGCACACATACATTCACAGTATGTATGTGTGTGTATGTGTGCTGGCAGGGTAGGGGGTGGTATTTTGAAGAATGCGGTGGGAGAATTAAATTCACTTACAGATATGAGAAGACAGGCATGGTGACATATACCTGTAATTCTCCCTACTCCAGTAGTGATTAGGAACTGGGCACTGGTGGCTCACGCCTGTAATCCTAGCTGCTCAGGAGGCTCAGATCTGAGGATCACAGTTTAAAGCCAGCCTGGGCAAGAAAGTCCCAGACACTCTTACCTCCAATAAAACACTAAAAACCCAAAGTGGAGCTGGGGTCCAAGTGCTAGAGTACGAGTAGTAAGCACCAAAGCTCAGGGACAGTGCCCAGGCCCTGAGTTCAAGCCACAACACTGAAAGTAAAAGAGGAGGAAAATCCTCAGAGATTGATTTCTTAGTCAAATTTCTTGTTGTATAGCATGCTACCTGAGACTGGAGGATTTATAAAGAATAGAGGTTTATTCATCTCATGATTCCTACTGGGAAGTTCAAGTTCACAGCGCCAGCGTCTGCTCAGTACCTCAGAGGGGCTTGTGCAGCACCAGAGCATGGCAGGCCCCATGTAGTGCTACAGAGCAAGTTGCCAGCTTCCATCTCTTCCTCTCCTTATAAAGCCACTGGTACTACCTTAGAGACCCCACTCTGATGAAGTTAATCAGTCCTGATTACCTCCCATAGGCCCCACCTCCAAATGCCATCAATGCCTGACTTTGAGGATTAAGTTTTCCACACACAAGCACTTTAGCAGGTCCTTCCACCGCTCATTATGTGGTTTTATTTTATTTTGGGGGGGGGTCCAGTCGTGAGGCGTGAACTCTGGGCCTGGGCACTGTCCCTCAGCTCTTCAGCTCAAAGCTAGTGCTCTACCACTTGAGCCACAGCGCCACTTCTGGCTTTTTTTCTTTTTGCTTATGTGGTGCTGGGGAATCGAACCCAGGGCCTCAGGCATGCAAGGCAAGCGGTCTACCACTGAGCAACCTTCCCAGCCCCTCATTATGTGGTTTTTGTTTACTTCATTGTTCAGATTTAAACTCAAAGCTTACACTAAAGAAGCAACAATCACATCAAGACTTTCTGGATATTCCTTACCCAGACTCACTAACTGTTTAGATTTTGCTCCATGTTTGTTTGTGTTAACCGTTCCCCCTCCCTATCCAAACCTATTTATTATGTAATATATACATGAATCCTCTTCAAAACCAGTTTCAAGGAAGCTGGGGACCTCACGCCTTTCCTGGTCATCTCCTTCAGTGGACATTTCCTCAGGACAGAGTTGTTCTTCAGAAAGGGACCCTGCCAAGTGAGCCCAGCACACTGCAGGACCATTCCCCTTAGTGCTATACCATTGCCTAGTATCTGCTCTACATTCCCATTCCATCAACCCTGCCATAGTCAAACCATCTTCCTCCAGCAGGGGGATCCCTGGACATGGTTTCATTTACTCTGGGATGACACCTGGCTCCTACAGATCATCCACTAGAGAAGCAGAGAAAATAATGCCTGCTGCTGAGCTCTGCCCACACTGAGAACAGCATGGACACGCTCGAGAGGAAGATCTGCAGATGAGAGGCAGACGTTATCTATCCAGGAGCTAGGGAACTTACTTTTTATTGTAAAAAAGAAAAAACATTGTCGGACCCACACATTGGCAGTGAATCTGTCCCTGTTTCGGTACAGTTTGGGTTATCACTGCCTGCGATGTTAGGCAGATCTGTCTGAACAGACAGGGGAACTGTGGGGGAAGAGCAGGACCACATTGGTGCAAGGCACAGGGAAGAGCAAAGGCTGATGTGGAAATGGGAAGAGAGTTAGAGGGGCAGGCAGACCTTTGAAGATTCTTTCAGCATTTGTTCTAAGAGCACCAGGCAGCCAGGGATCATTTGATGCTGGGGATTGGACTCAGAGCCTTGTGCCTGCTAGCCAAGTGATCTACTCATGAACTCCATCCCTGGCCCAACACTGAAGTTAGCAAGTTTGCATTCCTAGAGATGATGCCGGCTGCCTTGTGGAAATGACCAAAAGCTTGGGGGAAAGTATTCAAGGTGACAGATCTGAACTATCACTATCAGCAAATAATAATAATAACAATAATAATAATAATAAACAAGCAATAAATAATATCCGAGTTTGCCATAGACAAGCTGGTTTGGTCCAGTGGGGACAGAGCTGGACCTATTGTAGAGATATCGAGGGCTTGGAGATTGATGGGAAATGGAGGAAGGGAGAGAGGGGGTTCATTCCTGACTCCCCAGTACCTGTGTTGGGTGGCTGGCATGGAAGTTAAGCTCCTGGCTGGCATGGAAGTTAAGTTAAGAGGCTGAGTTCCCTTCCTGATCACCTTCCACATGCCTGGAGCCTGGAGTTTGGCTGACAGAGCCCCGGGGCTAGGCTTCCTTCTGGCTCCAGTATACTTTACCATTGCTGCATGGTTCCCTGGAGATCCATCTTGACAAGCTGAGATCTCACCGGTCCTCTCTCACACACTCTGCAGGCATCATGTGCCCAAGCCCCGTGTCTGTGGAACACGCAGACATCAACATCAAGAGTTACCATGTGAGCTCCAGGGAGAGGTATGTTTGCAACTCTGGTTTCAAGCGGAAAGCCGGCACGTCGAGCCTGATCGAGTGCGTGTTTAATGAGACCACCAACACAGCCCAGTGGACAATGCCCAGCCTGAGATGCATCCGTAAGTAGCCGCTCACTGCCCCGGTCCCCACCCTTCCTGCCCAGCCGAGACTCAGTATACCACTGGGACACTATCAGCCATACCTCCTGAGATGGAGATCCGTGGGCACTGTGCTTAGGCAGTTCTCCAGTTCAAATCCTGGCTCTGCCGTGTATCACCTCACAGCTCTGGGTAAAGTCCCTAACCTGTCTGAACTCAGATTGAACATCCAGCAAATGAACAAGATGACAACACTGTGAGATGTTAAGAGCCTTAAGAAGAGACTGGTAAATATTAACTATTATGGTGGCCATGCTTGTTTAGAGATCAGGGCAGTAAAAGGATTGATTGGCTCCCACAAGAGTGTGTGCTCAGGCTAGCTTCCCAGACAGCTCTTCCAACTTCTCACAAGGCTGCAAACTGAAGGGAAGTAGAAATCTGCCTTGTCCATTGGTGCCCAACATGGGGCCAGGGGGAGGGGAGTAGCTGGAAATGAACACAAATCCAAGTTCCTCTTGACTTAGTCACACGGATCTAGCAGCCAGCCAGCGTTCAAGAGGAAGGATAAGAAAGATGGCAAAAATCTTCTTTCCTGAATCACTTATAACTGGATAACCATCCTAGGAAAAGCCTAACAACTTTGGAGGAGAAGCCATTTGGTGCTCTTCCCAAGAATATGAAGCTCAGTTCTACTTCCTCCTTCCTCCTTTAGAAAAAAAAAAAAAGATTCACCTCTGGTCTTCCAAGACACTTCTGATTTAGCAAGTCTTCATGGCTCAGTCTGTGTCCAGCAGAAGCTAGATCTGTTCTCACTGCACATTTGCAAAGATGCTCCCCTCCTCTAGAGGCCAGGAGCCTGGAGGCGGCCATTGTACAACAACATCCTTCTGCTTGGAACTCTGGGAAAAGCCAGGTTTTCTCAGGGATGTGTAATGTGAGATTAACCCTCTGGATTCTTCCTTCCTGGAGGGCAGAGAACAGGGTTCTGCCAGGAATCAGTGTATTGGGGGATCAGACTTCCCCTACCACCACCCCTTGGCTTTGAGTACAGCTCAAAGGAAAAGCCCAGAAAGGCAACACTAACCATGAATGTGGAAACTGCAAGTGGAAAATCAGGACTTTTTCCTTCACTTTGGGGAAAGTTACCTTTTCTCAAATTTCCACATCTTACGGTGAATGAATCCAGGAAAGACAACAGTTGCACATTCTGAACAGGGAAGGGTGGGAGAAAAGAAGAATTTAGAATCCTAAGATTTGTGGTGGTAGTGAAGTTGAACTCAAGGCTTTGCTCTTTCTAAGCAGGTGTTCCAGTTATTTTTTGAATGGAATCTTATGTTTATTCCTGGGCTTGCCTGGACTGAAATCCTACTAGTTACCCCTTTCTCACTCTTACCTGAGAGTGAACTACCTTGCCTGGATATCTGTTGAGAGGGGGTCTCAGTGGCTTTTTGTCAAGTCTGGTTTCAAACTGTAATCTTCCCAATCTCTAACTCCCAAGTAGCTGAGATTACAGATGTGAGCTGCATAGCCAACTTGGGTCAGAATTTCAGAACCTCCAGCCTGAAGGAATCTTTAGGTTTCATTTGTTCCAAATGACTGATGCCCTGACCTTTTTAACCACTAGCAACTATTTACACTGTTGCTCCAAATTTCCTATGTATCAAAAGATTCCCAAACAATGGAATCTATGATCACTTATTTTCCCATGAATAGCCAAAATTATAAAACTGGGCTCATATCATTGGCCTCATTCCAGCCAAAAAGAGGAAATTTGATGCTCAACTTATGCAATCTTCTCAGAAATGCTAGGGGAAAAAATGCCTTGGCATTTGGGTAAGGAAGCACAGTTTATTCTTGTGATTTTTTAACCTGCCCTCAGATACCAGTGATCTCCATTGTTAACGTGCATGTCACTTTAAAAAAATTACTTTCAGATCTAAAGCCACTCCAGTTTTCACCCCTTAGGATCCTAAAAACCATGTGGTTATCTTCTTTCTAGGAGACCCCTCCCTGACTCACCAAAGGCTAGTACCACCATCCACAGTAGTGACTACAAAGGTGACCCCACATCCAGAGAGCCCTTCCCATCCTGGACAAGGTAGGACATTTCAGAACCCCCTCCCCTTCAGATGTGCAAACCACTGTGTGCACTCTACTGCAGCCAAGACAGCAAACTTCCCATCACCCTTGAGAATGTGCATTAATTGACACCCAGGTTGCAGATACATGCACACTTCGCAGTAGGTTAGAATCCTCTTTGACTAGGTCAGGCCAAATTGAATTGTTGCCATTTTTTTTTTTTTTGCCAAGAACTGGGGAAGGTCTGAGATGTGACTTCACTTGAATGCCTCAATGTCACTGTCTCACCTGGAAGAAACAAAGAGCTTTCGCACACCATGAGCAATAGGAGCATCGATATTTGTATCTACCATTTGTTGCCCAGGCAACAGGGATGGGCCTATGAGTGTTTTCTAACTGGCAGCAGCTGTGTCTGCTCTTTGCTCTGGAAGGGAGTGGTCTCAGTCTTCCAAGGCATTCACAGCATATACATACATCCTTGAGAACACTGTCTGCAGAGAGAGCCACACAAGGCTCTTCATTGGCAAAATGTAGAGTACCATGGCGGATCGGTGGAGAGTTCTTCTCCCCACCCCCCACCCCCACCTCTCATGAGCAAGTGAACATCACTGCTGTTCTTGAAGCAAGGCATGAAGTTCCATATTTCCGCTGAGGCTTAGGCAATCTTCCAGCTCAATGTCCTTAGCCTTTTTCTTGATGTTAAGGAAAATTGAACCTATAATCCTATAAGCTACTCAGAAGACTGGGATTTGAGGATGGTAGCTTAAAGCCAGCCTAGGCAGGAGAGTCTTATGAGACTCTTAGCTTGAATTAGGCAGAAGTGGAGGTATGGCTGGAGTGGTAGAGCACCATCCTTGAGAGAAAAAACTAAAGGATAATAACTCAGACCTAGGCCCTGAGTCAGAGAGGGTGGGAGGGAGAGAAAGAAAAGAGAGGGAAGGAAGGAAGGAGGGAAGGAAGGAAGGAAGGAAGGAAGGAAGGAAGGAAGGAAGGAAGGAATGAAGGAAGGGAGGGAGGGAGGGAGGGAGGGAGGGACGGAGGAAGGAAGGGAGGAAGGAAGGAAGGAAGGTTGGCTTGAGAGCTTGTATGCTGAATGTCTTGGGGTATTTGTCTCAAATCATTGGTCAGATTTCCACTTCCAATGCCAAACTTTGCAGTCACCATACAGAAGAGGAGCCATTAACTCAGGCTGGCGGGGCCTGCGCACTGGGCGTGAGTGTTCCACAGGCTGTATCTGCTGGGTTGCTTGGAGTGGTGGCAGCTGGCTGCAAAGTAGTGATGAAGGACTGAAGTCTGAGGCCTTCTCACAGCACGCAGGGCTGGGAAGACCAGGGTGCAGGGCCACCACAGAGAGCACAGGCAACGGAACGCAGAGGGGCTTGTCTTACCAGATGCTTTGCTCCAGGGCTTCACTTCCCAATTCCATATTCATCACATGAAAGACCCCTTTTTTTCATGAAGACAATGGCGGGCATGTGTGGGGCACACAGCAGCTTTCAGTTGTGGGGAGAGGGTATCTGCCGGTGAAGGACAAGGAAATGAGGAACCTGAAGTCCTCTGCTCCTGAGGATGGAGTTAAATCAGGATAGTCTTCCTCGGATATAGCTCAAGGAGTTCAGACAGGCTGAGTCTCAGACTTCCTTTTATTTCAACAGTGTGACAACATGTAAAATATAGGCAAGAATGGTAGTACATGCCTGTAATTCCAGGATTTGGAAGGCTGAGGTAGGAGGATTGTGAAGGCCAGCCTGGCCTACTCAGACCTTCTCCCACCTTACCCCCAAAAAAGAAGGAAGGAAGGAAGGAATGGAAAGGAAGGGAAGGGAAGAGAAGAGTTGGGAAGGGAAGAGAAGGGGATAGAAAGGAAACAAAGGGGAAGAAAGGGAAGGGAAGAAAGGAAATTACCTTTGGCAAATAAGCCTCCACTTGTTTGTAGAGCCAAATTTTAAGTGTATCCTTCCCCAGGAAACAGCTAGATCTTCCCAAAGCAACACCAATAATTTTTTTTCTTATTTTGTCGGTCGTGGGGCTTGAACTCTGGGCCTGGGTGCTGTCTCTCAGTGCTTCAGCTCAAGTCTAGCGCTCTACCACTTGAGCCACAGCACCACTTCCGACTTTTCCTGCTTATGTGGTGCTGAGGAATTGAACCCAGGGCCTCATGCATGCAAGGAAAGAACTCTTACCACTGAGCCACCTTTCCAGCCCAACCAATGATTCTTTATATGCACTTTGATGCAAAAAATGGTGCCACAGCCAGTTCCGTGGCTCAGTGGATGGTGGTGCCACTGGCTTGACACACAGGCCGCTGGGAGCCGGCTGGCCAGGGAGGGCTGACACATGGCTTGTGAGGTCCAGCTCGAGCCAGTCTGAATCTTTATCTTCTGTCTTGGAATTTCTTACAGAACCAACCACATCATGGCCCAAGTCAGGCACTTCCGTAGCCATGGATACAGCCATGGTACCTGGCTCCCCACTCACCCCATCCCAGACGCCTTCCCCAGGAACCACAGGGCTAGGCAGCTACGAGTCTTCCCCGGCCCCATCTCAGACCACAGCCAAGGCCTCAGAGCTCCTGCCCTCCACCCCCCATGGGACACCAGGTTAGCCCCCCAGCTTTGCAGGAAGAGAGGACCACTGCTCCCCGCATGCTGCTTCTGACACTTGGGTTGAGAGCTGGTGCCAGGGACCCCCGTACTTTGGTGCCATCTAATCCATTGTCAAGACTAACTGAGACATATTCCTGCTCCCACCAGCTCTAGCTTCGTTGCCCTGGGCCAGAGGGCACGGCTGACCATGCCAGCCGCCTCAGGCATGTGCCCCAGCTACACCGATTAACCCACATGGCCTGGCCCGTGCTAGGACTTAACTGTGCTCTCCCACTGGGGGATGGGAGAGGGGGTGCTTTGCAGTCCAGAGCCATGCTCTGGGAGATGTTGAGAAGCCCTGGGCCCTCTGGCTCTCTTTGAAGGCCTGGCCAGGTCTTAGGTGTGGCCCAGCACCCCCGTGACTTACCCTGCTTGTTCGGTGCTATGCTCAGTCTGGTTGTGCCAGCTGTGTATCTAAGGATCTGAGATGGCAGCCAAGCCATTCATTATTTGTCCAGCCTCATGAGAAGCCTCTGACTGTGTGCTCTCCCCTCTCCTCCGCAGGTGTCCATCCACACAGCCGCACATCGGCCACTGGTGAGTACTTTTCCTTGTCCAGGATGCTGATGGGCAGAGAGACTTGTAGGTGCAGCCTGTAGAGCAAGCCCTGGTCCCATTCACACCAGCATGACCCCTTCTCCCTCCCAGCAGTGCCCCCAGCAGATAAGAAGGTGCATGATGCGTAACACTCAGTGGATGGAATTCTTCATTTGATTAGGACCATTTATCCTCACACAGAATGGTGCAGTCAGTCAGTGCATCACAAGCGTGTACTTGTACATAGTTCAGCTTTTCACAGGCGTGCATAGTTTAAACTCCATTCAGGTGCTGCTAACATGAGTGTGTGTGTGTGTGTGTGTGTGTGTGTGTGTGTGTGTGTGTGTGTGTGTCCCACTCATCCATTCTTGGCTCTTTGCTGGTTAACTAGAGATAAAGAGTCTCTGGGCTTTTCTGTCTGGGCTTTGAATCTTGACCTTCAGTCTCCCAAATAGCTAGGGATTACAGGCATGAGCCACTGGCACTCGGCGTGCTTTCTTAAATGAGTAGAATGTCCCATCTATGTAAAGATGATGCTTTTGTTTCTGTTTTTGGCAGCACTGGAGATTGAACCCAGGATCCTGTGTTTGCTAGGCCCTGCCACTTGAGTCACACCCCAAGCCGTGCAAGCCATTAGGAAAAAAAAAGGCTCTCTGGGGATTATTTTTATTGAAAGACTAGTATGTAATGTCCAGGACGTGGGAACAAAAATATGTTCATGATTTAGAAGAACAGTATCCAAATTGATTTTTTTTGCCTTAGTCACATCCCAAATTAATCTTTCCACAGTATTTTGCATTTTTTAATTTGTTTTTCATTTTGATACTATTTTGCACGTGGCATAGAACTCCAGTTACGAAAGGATGTACAGTAAAAAGTCCCTCTGCCCACTCAAATGTCCTTGAAGAATGGAGGTAGATTTTTGCAGATCCTTCCAGATAGGCTGTGTAAAAAGAGAACACTGAGAGAGGATGCTAACAGCCAAGCAACTTGCCCTCATTTAATAGCACGGCTTGGAGGTTCTCCATATCAGTACAAAAACCTGCCTATTCTCTTTTAGCAGCTACATACTATGCCATTCATGGACCTGCCCACATTCTACATTGCCAGTCTACTCTTTGGACTTATGACTGCTTACATTCTTTATTAATTAAAAGCTCGCCGACCTAGGAATGTTTGCAAGATTAAATCCTGCAGTGAAATTCTCTACAAAGATCCTCAAAGTATTTGACTCTAGGCTATAATCTGTCATCGCATTTTTTTCTAGTTTGTGGATGAGATAGATATAAAAAAATTTACTGGGGCTGGGAAGATGGCTCAGTGGTAGAGCGCTTGCCTTGCATGCTCAAGGCCCTGGGTTCGATTCCTCAGCACCACATAAGCAAAAAGAAAAAGCCGGAAGTGGTGCTGTGGCTCAAGTGGTAGAGTGCTAGCCTTGAGCTGAAGAGCTGAGGGACAGTGCCCAGGCCCAGAGTTCAGGCCCCACAACCGGACCCCAAAAAAAAATTTACTGGATGAAATATGAAAATTCTCTTGTAACACCTGTAATCAGGTAAATATTAATTGAGTGCTGGAGATGTGGCTCAAGTGGTTAGGTGACAGCCTTGTAAGTGTAAGACGCTGAGTTCAAACCCTGCTATCACACAACAAACAAAACATAAAAATACCATAGCTTAACGTCCAAATGGACAAAAATAGTTCTATATAAAGAGTTCTGGAAACACAGCATTATTTAAAAATCAAAACAAAACAGCAATTTAAGGCCAGGTACCTGAGTTCTAGAGAATTGCAATATGAAGCTAGTCCTGGGTGGGGTTGTGGATAGGAGAAAGTCTATCTCCAGTTAATCAGCAAAAAACTGGACCGTAGGCCTGGTTTAGAGTACAGTAGAGTCCCACTAGTCATGATCAAGAAGTTCTAGTAAAAGGCCCTGAGTCCTATTGCTGGGGTGGGGGAGCTCAATGTCATTTTTTTTTCTTTTTTCTTTTTCTCTTTTTGCGGTTCTAGGCTTGGACTCTGGTGTGAGCTTTATGCTCAAAGCTAGTGCTCTACCACTTGAGCCACAGCTCCACTCCCAGCCTTTTTTGTAGCTTATTAGAGATGAGAGTCTCACAGACTTTCCTGCCCTTAATGGCTTTGAACCGTGATCTTCAGATCTCAGCCTCCTGAATAGCTCAGATTACAGGCTTGAGCCATGGGTGCCCAGCTTCAATGTCAGTTTAAATAGACTCCAATTTATAGAATTTTAAGGGTTAAACTCAAACAATTATTTATTGAGTAAGCCAAACCCAACAAGGATTTTTGTGTCTGTTCTTTGCAGTGTAGTATTGAGCCCAGAGTCTTGGGCATCCTAGGCTAGTCTTATTATTGAGCCACATCCCCAGCCTTGACCCCCAACACTTACTACACGCCTAGGTGGTGGTGGGGGGAGGGAGAAAAAGAGAGAGGGAGAGGGAGAGAGAGGACAGAGAGACAGAGAGAGATGAGAGACAGAGACAGAGAGGGAGGGAGGGAGGGGGAGAGAATAATGAATCAATGCTCTGAGCTCTACAGCGCCTCCTATAGTGCAGACATAGGCACTACACTAACAGTGACAGCAGTACTTCCACCAGGACTGACCTGGTTTACCAGGAAGCTGCTAAGGAAGGACTGGTCCCTCTATAGTCACTTGATCACCATCCACGCTGAATACTGGCCCTGAGAGCCTACTTCTTTGACCATCTTAGATTCCATCAGCACTTGAGGCCTGAAGCCAGGGCAAGGAAAAGGGATGGGCGCTGGCCCCTGTGGCCTCCAGTACAAGAATCAGCTTTTCTCCCTTCCTTTTCCTCTCCTCTTCACCAACTCCTTCTCTTCCTTTCTCCTGAATCCATACCCTCTAGAAAACACCATAAGGTGGAGAGTTTGGCGGGTGATTTGTTAATGCATTGGACTAGTGACTCTGGTTTGTTTTCTTGGCTAACCTTGCCTGGAGGTTATTGGAGAAGAGGCTCAGGGTGAGGATTGAAGGCACTGAATTCAAGTTTCTTCCTGTCATCCTTGGCCTCAGAGCCCTTCTTTCTCTCTTGAGTTTGACTCTGCAGATTTTAGTCTTATTGAAAAAGAAACAGGAAGAAGCATCATGAAAGCAGAACTACAGTTCAAACCAATCTGCCTTTTCCAATAAATCACTCCTCAAACAGTAAATGCATGCCAAACATACTAGCCAATGTGAAGGCACAGTTTACTCTAGCATGCAATGCCTCTGAATAAAAAATCATTTGCTTCTTTTCCAGTCATCCTGATAATCAGTATTAAATCAGAACTCAAGAAACATCTTTCATTAATGTCTCATGGCTTGTTATTTCTTTTTTTTATCAGCCTCACTAGGCTTATTTTGTTTACATAGGTTTTGGTTTCATTTCTACCATTTTTATGGGTATATTTCTCACTGTAAAAATATGAGAGAAAAAAAACTGAAGTAGGCTGGTAATTGATGGTTCATGCCTGTAATCCTAGCTACTCAGAGGTTGGGATCTGAGGATTTTCAAAGACAACCTAGACAGTCCATGAGAGTCTTATATAAAAACTACTCAGGGGCTGGGAAGGTGGCTCAGTGGTAGAGTGCTTGCCTTGCATGCATGAGGCCCTGGGTTCGATTCCTCAGCACCACATAAGCAAAAAGCCAGAAGTGGTGCTGTGGCTCAAGTGGTAGAGCACTAGCCTTGAGCTGAAGAGCTGAGGGACAGCACCCAGGCCCAGAGTTCAGGCCCCACGACTGGACCAAAAAAAAAAACTACTCAGAAAAAGCTTGAAGTGGCACTGTGGCTCAAGTTAGAGCACTAGCCTTGAGCAAAGAGAAGCTCAGGGACAGCCCTCAGGCCCTGAGTTCAAACCCCAGCACTGGCAAAAAACAAAACAAAACAAAAAGACACAAACCTGAAATATTTTAAAACAAAAATGAGGATTTTATATTATTGTATAATTACATGACACATTAATGCACTATATATCCCTTGAGATTTTTGTGTACATAGTTGTGGCTTAGAAACTACTTTTTTCCCCTTCAATGAGCTTTTTTCATTCAAAATATTATAGACATCTCTTCATGTTAATATATGTACCTTCATGTCATTATTTTGGTTTTGGTAGGGGTTTTAACGCAGTACCACCAAAAAGATAAAAAATAGGTTCCAGCAACTCATGCTTGAAATCCTAAGCTATGTAGGCAACTGGAGAGCTGAGGATCAAATTTCAAAGCCAGACAAACCCAAGAGACTTATCTCCACTGAACCAGAAAAAAAAGCCAAAAATGGAGGGAGGTCTGGCTTAAGGGGTAGAGCATGAAGTTTGAGCAAAAAAAGTTAATCAAGAGTTCAAGGCCCTGAGTTCAAGTCCCAGTATTGGCACACAACAAAAATAGAGATAAAAATATAAATAAGAAATGACAATAGAAATGGATGGAAATGGTACTACATGCTATTGCTCCCAAATCTGTAGCATTAAGAAAAAAGGGGACAGTCAGAAAGGGGACAGTGAGGAAGATCAAGCTGAAGTGTCCTTATTTCCCCCCCACACCCCCCCATCCTCCCCTCATTCATCCAGTTTTCACCTGGGGCCTCCCTCCTGACTTACTCCCACTACCGAGGGTCACCCTGAGCTATTTGTCCAAGGACAGGGAGCAGGGATGTGGGACAGCAGGCATGGGAGCAGTCTGAATTGGCAATGTTGGCAGCAAAAAACCACGTGGTTTTGCCCAGATGTGGAAGAGATCCAATTAAAGCATGCTGGACTTCTTTGTGAGGATGTACATTGCCTACAATTGACCGATCCTTGGCAATGAGCGAATGTACTCTCCACACCCGTGGTTGCAGCTCAGTTCTGTTCTTTTCCAGTTGCCATCTCCACATCCGTCACCCTGACTTGTGGAGTGTGTGTGCTGCTTGTCATGGTGTGGTGCATCAGATCAAGGTGAGTGGCACGGCAGGATCTGGTCTTCTGGGCCACCAGAAATGGGCCCAGCAGGACAGAGCCAGTCTTTGCTTCCCATGGTTCTCAGAGCACAAGCCCGAAATGGGACAAGATCCAGGCCAACAATACTGGAAGTCTGTCTACCAGAAGCTCGGGAATCGTTTCTTCTATGTATTCACAAATACATTCTCAAATATGTTCCTGACATGTGCATGCCCTTATTTATGGCAACCTTAATTTTTCATTCCTAATCACTGAAATTCTGACATTTGTGCCATGCCACCTCTGACATTTCAGTGGTTTTTCCTCAAATCTTGAGGCTTTTTTTTAAAAATCATTTTCATTAAGTCTGAAGTGGCGTATTGGCCTTTGTCTTTTCATCACTGAAGGGCCAGTTGATGTAGTGGCTGTGGATCCTTCTTTCACATTATTCTCTGGATGGATATCAGAGTTCTTGCAGCTAAACTTGAAGTCACTAGTAATAAATATTGTAGCAATATAAAACTTAAGACTGAGCCTGATTTTCACCCGATGTCTAATATAACCCACTTGGTGCTTCACATAAACGTTATATTGCTGTAATCACACCCCTCAGGAGGCAGAGGCAGGAAGATCTCGAATTTTTGAGGCCAGCATGGACTCCATAATGGGTCTGAGACCATTCTGGACTTGGGGGACTGTGATTCTAGGCCAGCCAAGCCTAAAAGTTTACGGGACTGTCTTAAACAATGGTTGGGACAGTGGCAGGTACCTGTCATCCCAGCATCAAAGGGAAGCACACATGAGAGGATCACAATCCAGGCTAGCACAGGTATAAGGCAATCTTGAAATGAACCAACAGGACTGGCTGAGTGGCTCAAGTGGTAGAGAGCCTGCTTCGCAAGCATAAGGCCCTTAATTCAAACCCAAGCACCATCCCAAACATAAAACATATATAGATATATAAGGGTAAATATACAGTGAGGTAAGGGGTGACCTTGCCCAAAAAGAAATATACCTCTGAACATCACCTTTATAGTATTTTTTAATTTTTTTAAAGATAAATATACTTGTGTATGAATGTAGATTGACTTTCAGGCATCCTCTCCTCTGAATCATCTCCTTTGCAGGCGAACATCCCAGCCACCTGCTACTGAAATGGAACCCATGGAAATGATGCCAATGGCTGCAGACACTGGCCACAGTGGGGGCATGGGAGCCTACCCGCAGGACTTCTGAGATGGGAAGCCAGCCCAGCTACATCTGGAGAGAAGGCACCCAGCTCTGCTTTCAATTAAGAGCACCTGAAAGATACCCACGGGGCTAAGAGCCAGGGAAACACCCACCAGTGCAATCAGGTCCCTGGTGTCATCTTACCTCCTGCAGGAGCTCACAGATGACACTGCCAGCTCGTCAGGTCTTGGTTTCCCAAAGTTTGAGCGGCTGAAGTTCTTCTAGGAGAGGCTGCGGGCTTCCAGGAAGGCCTGGGACTTCACTCTGACAGTGACCCAGGATCGCTTATCCATATCTCTGCACTTTACAGATAATGGGAATGTACTTGAGGCCCCCGGTGAATTTCAGGGCTCTTCCTGGCATGGGAAATGTCAACCAGGCAGACACCCAGTAGCTCTTGAGATCCTAGAAACTCTGTCGACAGGGATCTGGCAGGTATCAAAAAGGAGCTGAGAAAGGCAGAAGAGTAATGGGCCAGCGAATCCTCCTGAGTGAAGGATTCAGAAGCAAACTGAACTCGGTGATGTTTTGTATGTATATATATTTATTTTTATACTTCCTTGTTTGTCATAGCTACCTACAGCATATGGTTTGTACAAGTGCCTTGTGTAAATAAAATATTTTCAATACCAAAAAAATTACACCATAGAAAAATGTTTCAAAACGAAAAAGAAGGGAATGCAGAGTCAAAAATGGTTGAGTTAGTTTTCTTTGTCCGAAGATCTCTTGCCTAGAGATGGCATAGATTAGGGAATTTCCATGTGAGAAGTAACTTGATCTAATCAAAACTATGGCAAGTTTGGATCCAGATATACACAGCATACACATTCTCTCTTTCCTGTGTTCTCTTTTTCTTTCTTTGCTGTGTATGACATTTGTTTCTAAAATCATATGCCAAATCCTACTTCCTTATGTTATAAAAAGAAAGAAAATTCTGAACCAGAGAGTTGACCTTCTTAAAGCCATACAAATCAATTAATGTCAGAGTTTGAACAGAACCAGGCATGGGGTGGGGTTTGAGAGCAGTCATCCTGATTGTAAACCAATTATAACCCTCCATTCCAGAGCTAGAGCATTTGGGAGGTGGAACATGGACATAGTACCTGATTCCCATGCTCCCTGGGCGGCCACAGTGCCCTTTCTCACTGACATCTGCTAGTCAAGTCATCAAAATCAAAAGCAGCCTTTCCACACAGCTGCTTGTGCTTCTTTACTGTATGGTGGTCTTGTGTTATTAACTCCTCCCCAGGTGACTGAAACACAGTAGAAACTTCCAGGCCCCTTTAAGGCTAGTCCAGAAACTAACACATACAACTTTTGCTGTAGTTCTATTGGTCCAAGAAGATTCAAGGATAGGGTAAGAATAAGAGGGAGGGACAGCATCCATGAAGTGGTTGTAGGTGTCTGGGCCTCCATTCTCCCTCCAGCAGATCTGGGTGTTAAGGCTGCTCCCAGCTGTCCTTTGAACCTTCTTCCCACCTGCAGTGCCCAGGAGCTCCAGTGACCATCTACCATATTTTTCAGAGTTTTTGAAAAGTGTAACATATCTTAACACTTGGCAAATACCAGTAACTATTGATGTAATGAATAGAATGGTCTTGGAGTCAGTATCTGCTAGGTACTCAATTTTCAAAATTTTGTTTTAGAACAGGAAATGTATACACAACCACAGAGAAAAGTTCTACAGTTATTTTCAGCCCAGATGTCTTTAGCTAGCAATAGATAAATAACGAAAATTTCCATTTCCTCCTCCCCCCCTTTCCCATCCTCTACAATATTGTCAAGAAGAAAATTGACCAGTCTTTGTCTTTTCTTTTTTCTTTTTTGTCAGTCATGGGCCTGAAATCTGGGCTGGGGCACTGTCCCTCAGCTCTTCAGCTCAAGGCTAGCGCTCTACCACTTGAGCCACAGCACCACTTCTGGCTTTTTCCCCCCTGCTTATGTGGTGCTTAGGAATCGAACCCAGGGCCTCATGCATGCAAGGCAAGCACTCTACCACTGAGCTAACTCCCCGGCCCCTGACCAGTCTTTGTCTTTTCTATTTTGCCTTGGTTTCCCTTGATGAAAAAACAAAAGACTCTTCCTTCTTTTTAAATCTTCTAGACAAGCCAGGCGCTGGTGGCTCACGCCTGTAATCCTAGCTACTCAGGAGGCTGAGATCTGAGGATCACGGTTCAAAGCCAGCCCGGGCAGGAGAGACCGTGAGACTCCTATCTCCAATAAACCACCAGAAAACCAGAAGTGGCGCTGTAGCTCAAGTGGTAGAGTACTTGCCTTGAGCTGAAGAGCTGAGGGGCCAGCGCCCAGGCCCAGAGTTCAAGCCCCATGACCGACAAAAAAAAAATAAATAAATAAAAAAATAAACCTTCTAGACATTAGGAAGGAGAAAAGGAACCCATAAGACACATTTAAGGTCTTCCCTCAAGCCATTTCTCCTTGCTAATGATTTGTCTAAAGAGTGGCTGGGTTCCTTAATTCTGACCAACCAAATAGGAGGTCAGCTGAAGAGACTCCAGGGGAATGGTTTTCTTGCTATGCAGACACACAGAAGATGAGCTTAATTCTTTGCTACTGCCATTTCTAAACACCAATTTGGAAATGCTGGTCATAAGGGAAGCCAGCTGGGGAAAAACAGGAAAGATGACAGGAAGAGAAAGCCACTGAATTCTTTGCACTGGTGCTAAGCAGCTGATACAAGTCCCTTCTCCCTCCTTCCTTTCAACTTCTACGTGAGATCATTACATTTGCTGTCAGGTATCTTTGGGGTTGTGCTTTGAAGTTAAATCACAGCACAAAATATCTTGACACAAGGACCCAGTTGGGGCGAGGAGGGGTGGGGAGTGAAGAAAAGAGCGCGCCACATTATGAATACTCCGAGTCTGAGAAATCACTAAGACATCAAATGAGTAACTGAATAAAAAATTGAGGTTTAAGCATGCTCTCTAGTATGTCTGCTGGTCTCCATCTAGCCAGGGCACCATAAACATCAAATATGCAAACATCACTGGTGAATATGGAGGAATATGGAGACAACAAGTCTGGGAATTGGAGATTCTCTTGAAGAATCTATAATGAAAAACAGCCCTGTGAAAAAGGACCGGGGCACCCTGTGAATGTGCAGAGAGCCGCCACCCCTCTGTAAGCTGAAGTGCTAGGAGGAACTGTGGAGGGATTATGTACATAATGGGGTCTTCACCTGTATGGGACAACAAGTTATAGGAGCTCTTTTTTTGAGTCAGCTTTAACTATACTAATTTGCTGAAAATCCAAAGCAATCGACTACTTCCAGTCTCTCCATGCACTCCACATTCCTAAAAACCCATAGGTTCAGGATGAGAAAGATCAGGCTTGATCACCAGTCTGACTAGGTGTACAGGCCCCTTTCAATCTAGCTAGTTGCTCTGAAAGGCAGAGCAGATGCCACTGTAGGATGGGTGTTTTGGGGTAGGGGAGAGGGGAGGGACAGCTGAAATCATTACGTGGCTTCCTGGGCAGGCTGTCTCACATGTACCCACTTTCCCTGCTTATCAAACTGTTTCAGTCTAACCATTGATGTGTCTGCTCTCACCTCTATGCTTCTGGAGGAGAAAACATTATCTACTCAAGGTACTGCTTACCATCAGCTCAGCAATGATACTGTCTGGTGGCCCTGTGCTATCTTATCTGTCCCACATTTTTAATAATCTCTCTGGATGATCCTCTGACTTCATTGAGAAATACAATGATTGGGCTAGAGCTACATAAACTTCTTACTCAACGACACTTATAATGTCATCTTCTCTCTCCTCTCTTATCTCTGCCCAGCCTTGCTTGTAAGGGTCTAATCTACAGGAATGTGTATGTTTCTTCGGCTCCTACTCAGACCTTGAGCTTTATCAGATGCAAAGAATCAATAATTGTATAAAGTGCCTTACCAAGAAGTGCTCTAGGCCCATACCCATAATCCAGAGGCAGGACAGCTAGAGTAAGATGGCTGGGAAAGTAAAAGATCAAAAAAAAAAACCCCCAAAACTACCAGGTTCAAGAGTTAAGACAGAGCCAGCAAATAGCAAGAAACTGAATCAATTATTTAACAATGCATACTCCTGCATTCTTTACATCATCCTCCCTCCCTTCTCTTTTAGATACTAAAGAGATTCACTGGAGCCAGGTGCCGGTGGCTCACGCCTGTAATCCTAGCTACTCAGGAGGCTGAGATCTGAGGATCACGGTTCAAAGCCAGCACAGGTAGGAGAGACCATGAGACTCCTATCTCCAATAAACCACTAGAAAATCGGAAGTGGTGCTATAGCTCAAGTGGTAGAGTGCTCGCCTTGAGCTGAAGAGCTGAGGGCCAGCGCCCAGGCCCAGAGTTCAAGCCCCATGACCGACAAAAAAAAAGAAAAAGAAAAAAAAAAGATTCACTGTTTTAGAAGAATGATTGGCCCAGGAATAAAAAACACCTGGACTTTATAAACTGGTGAGCAAGAAGACCACAAAAAAAGGACCATCAAGAACTGACATATATGTTATCCTTTGTAACCCAGACCTTTTTCCGTGTTTTAATGGTAATACCAAAACAAGGTAATTGGAAAGTTGCTAGGCAACCAAGTTGCTAGGCAACTGGTCATCCAAGTGATCAGTTCTGTACTAGAAAGCCCAGCCCAGTTAGGGGACATAGGTCTGAGTCAGCCAGGTACTACCTACTCAGTAGGCTGAGCTCTGAGGACTGAGGGTCAAAAGCCAGCCCTGGCAGGACCAGAAGTGGCACCATGGCTCAAAATGGCAATGTGCTAGCCTTGAGCAAAAGAGCTCAGATACAGTGCCTCTGAGTTGAAAGCCCATGACCAGCCACACCCACCACCCCCTGCCACACACAAAAGAATAAGGACATAAAGGGGCTCTCTGTATCTGCCTTCTTGGAGATGTTAGTAAGGAGCTAAGAAACTAGCTGAATGGGCAGACATAAAAAATTAGATGGCATTAACTTACCTGTTGCCCTTGAGTTCTGGGTAGGCCTACATCAGATCTAGTTCTAGAATAATAATACTCATTTTAGTCACCTGGCACCACTGTCTAATAATGCTAAACAGATGACCAGACATATTTCTCCAGCTCAGAAAGTATAAAGACCCTAGATATGAAACTCCATTTTGAAGACATTGATCAAGACACATTGTGCTCATATGCTGATTTGTTGAATGACAACCCTTTGTGCAACTAAAGATAACAACAAAAAACAAACACTAGCTGGGAAGGTGGCTCAGTGGTAGAGTGCCTGCCTAGCATGCATGAAGCCCTGGGTTTGATTCCTTAGCACCACATAAACAGAAAAAGCCAGAAGTGGCACTGTGGCTCAAGTGGTAGAGTGCTAGCTTTGAGCTAAAGGTCTCAGGGATAGCACCTAGGCCCAGAGTTCAAGCCCCATGACCAAAAAAAAAAAGCCCACCATTTTGAACTGTCCATTTTGAACTGTATTTCTCCCTACTTCGTTATATTAAAATACATGTTTGATAGAATTCCCACCTTATAACACACTCCATTTTGAGACACTGAAACTTGTCATTTTAGAGAGAAACTGTGAAGGTAAGAGATGGCTCATCCCTCAGTTACCTTCTGTGTCTCTTTCATGAATGACTTTGAAATTC